CTGTTCCCTGGGAGCAGAGCCCGACTCCTCTCAGGACATTTTGGATCAGTTTGTCCCAAGCCTGACCTGCCCAGTCCGGGCTGGGTTTGAGCTGCTGGTCCCAGTTGGATCCACAGGAGCTGGGAAGAGCCTCTGCAGGAGAGCAGGGAGAGACACGTCAGGAATTGGGGTTCTGCTGATTGTGAAAATATTAATTAAAATGAGGGGAAATGAGGGGAATTGTGTGAGGGACAGCTGAGGGCGCTGGGATTGTGCAGCTGGAGAGGAGGAGGCTGAGGGGAGGCCTCTGATTTCAGTTCCCTGGGACAGGGACACGAGCCAGGGAAGGTTTGGGGTGGATTTTAGGAAAGGTTCCTCCCCCAGAGGGTGGAATAAGCACTGGAACAACTCCCCAGGGAATTCCAGAGCTCCAGGAGGGTTTGGACACCAGGGTGGGATTTTGGGGGGGGTCTGTGCAGGGTCAGGGGCTGGACTGGATGATCCTTGGGATCCCTTCCCAATATTGCCAATATTCAGGATATTCCATGATTCTGTGCCATCAGGAACAGACCACCCTTTACAAATCCCAGACCTTTGCCTCCGAGTCATTCCAAATCCGTTCTTGGGAATGAAGATGACACAGGAACCACTCCTCGATTTCATATCCTCACCTGGATATATAATTCTGATTATATTCCAGCCAGAATTAGGAAAGGGAAGCAGGAATAACACGAACACTCCCCAGGGATTTTCTCTTTGTGATGTGCAAATGGAATGTGTGTCCCTGAGCTGAACAGCTCAATTCTAGACAAAAAAAACTTCCAAAGAAATCTCCTATTTTTTTAAGGAAAATCAATCTGTGTGGTTATAAACGGCAAAGAAATGACTTTAAACAGCACCACAGTTTTGTTATGGAGTATCCAATGGATTAATTGACTTTGTCATTAATTATTTTGTCACCAATTAACGCTGTCATTAATTAAAGAGATTCTTGTCCAGCTAGTGGAGGCAATAAAGGAATTTGTGCTGGGAATCCATGGGCCATGAACAATGGAGTGAGGAGCTGGGTTGTTTTTTTTTTAATGAATATATCTCAGAACACAAGGAATCAATCTTTTATCATCCCAGAGGATTGACTCCTCAGGAAATCCAAAATTCCAAGGATTTAAGAGAGCAGAGTTTTCCAACAAAAGCCATGGAACAAACCTCCTTTTATTGGCAGCACCAGGCTGGTTCCAACCTTCTGGAATAAAAATCTGATCTATTTACAGCCCACTTTTGCTTTTCTCTGTCCTTTATTAACAAAGATTCCAGAATTTTCCAAGGAAAAGAAGGAGTCCTGTCCCAGAGAAACCTCCTGTGCGCCAATTGCCTGAGCATGGATATTCTCTGCTTAATTAATTACAGGATAATGCAAATAAAAGCTCCAGGAACTGCTCCCATTTTTCCTCAGAGCTTCATAAATATTCCCAAACCACTGGAAAATTGTTATTCCAGCTTGGCCAAAATCAATTCCTTGCTGTTGGAAAACCAAAATTCCAGTTTGGCCAAAGTCAATTCCCCACCTGAGTTTTATCTTTATCTTTGTGAGGAAAAAAGGCTTTGATTATGAGATTTTTTTTTTTTCCCCTTCAAAAATTCCTTTTCCAACCAAACCTGGTTCTTATGGATATTCCAGCTCGGGACACAGGAATTGAGGTGCAGGGTTGTGGTTTGTGGTTGTTTCTCGTGGATTTTCTCTTGGAAGCCTCAATCTTGGATTTTTCATGGCAAAAAAGCACAGGCTCAATGTTAGGGATGGGCTGCACAGGGAATTTTGGGAAGTGGAGTTGGGAGTTTCATTAAATCCTATTTTTAGGGTGTCCTGGGCTCCATTTATTTTCAATTATTTCCATATTTTTCAGCCCAGGTTATCCTGGAATTATGGCTCCATTTCCAATGCTGGCTTGGTTTTCCAAGTGGGAAAACCAAAGTTGGGTGTGGGAGATACTGAATTTCTTTATTCATATCAATATATTCATATATTTATTACCTATGCATTTACTATTTATATATTTTATATTGATATATTTCTTCATTTATATATTTATCTTTATTATATTTATTATATTATATTATATTTCCTATTTTTTATTTTATATGTTTTATTTATATATGCATAATTTAGATACCTTTATATTTATACATTTATTTGTGTATTTGTATGCTTATATATTAATATATTTATTTTTATATATTTATACATTTATTTATCCCACATCAGAACTGGAAAACCAGAGTTGTTTTCCATCTAACACAACGACAATTTTCTGTTGTTTTGGATTTTTTTTTTTCCCTCTGGTTTCCATGGTGAAAAATAAGGATTAGACCAGAGCTGGTGTTGATTGTGAGGGGGGGAAAAAAATCAAAATCTGTGTTGCTTCCTATGGAGAAATATCAATATCCAACCCTGGCTTTGGAGGGATAATCCTGAAAGGAAAAATTCAATTGTTTTCCTTTCCAAAGGAGAAAATAATGGAGATTTTATTCTGGAGAGAAGGGCAAGGATTCAAAGCAGAAGCTGAATTTGATAGAAATTCATATCTGGGTTGGCTAATTGCAAATTTTCCTTGTTAATTATTGAAAATCTTTGGGAAATCTCTGTTTCTGTGCTTCCTTAGCCAAAGATGAGGTGGAATAGGGAATATTTTTAATTTTTGCCCTACAGTGCTCACAGATATCATTGACATAGTGACATAAAACGTGGCTTAAAAAGCTTAATTCTATTTATTTTTAAAAACTTTATCACCACAAACTGGCCCTTGGTCCTTGGCTGTAATCCCTGCCTGCTGAGCATCCCAAATCCTCAGGAATTGGGGGAACTCCCCACTTTTCCTGCCCCAAAACACATCCAAGGGCCATCGGTCTTCTGGAGGAAATATTCCCAATTTTAGGTGGGGTTTGTGACAGAAATATTCCATGGTGGGAGAATTCAAGTTCATTCCTTGTTGCACCTCTAATTCTTTTGGAATTTTGGAGGTTGCCCAGGTCAGCTTTGCTTTTTCAAATGAGGACAAATCCCAAAAAAATCTGACCTTTGAATCCTTTGGATTCCAGGCTGGACAACAAATTTGAAAGGCAAACTAAAGATCTTTCCGATTTTGACAGTTTTAAGCACATTTTATTACAGAAATATTCCGTGGTGGGCTAGTTCAGCAAATCCATTCTTTGTTGAATCCCTCGTTGCATTCCTTGTCGATTCGTTGGGAATTTTGGAGGTTTCCCAGGTCTGCTCTGCTCTCTAAGGTGAACCCAAATCCCAAAATGATAGTCTGGTCTGTGGGTTAGGGAGGGTGAGTGAGTGGGGTTTGTTTTTGGGGAAATATTCTCTGACCAAGGCTGTTGGTTTGGAGACCAAAAAGAGGAGAAGAAGAAAAGCAAGAAGAAAACCTGAGCGGGGAAAAGTATTGTTGGAAAAATCTTGTCAGAAAAGTATTGTCGGAAAAATCTCGTGGAAAACAGAGGTGGAGGCGGGTTTTCCCACCAGTGATTGACTAATTATCAATCGATTAGTCAACAATTAATTGTTGACTAATTGCAGCCAGTGAAGAAAGTGTAAACTGTGCAGAGCGTATAAAAGACGGCGCTCTGCTGCGGTGAACGGGATATTTGCCTTGGGAACGTTTCCATTTCTGTGCAGCACAAAACCTCCGACCTTTTGGGGTTTTTTTTTGGTTTTTTTTTTGGGGTTCCAGGCCGGCCAGCAGCGCTGGTGGGAGCAGGAGATCACAGTGAACGGGAACATCCAGAAGGGAGAACTGATCACCTACAACCTGACGGAGCTCATCAAGCCCGAGGCGTACGAGGTGCGCCTGACGCCCATCACGCGCTTCGGGGAGGGAGACTCCACCATCAGGGTCATCAAATACAGCGGTAAGGACCCCAAATCCTGGGAAAAGTGGGCTGGGAATCTTCTGGGTCACCCAGGATGTCGGGGTTGTTCCCAATCCTGGGATAACGTCGTGAGGGCGCGTGCCGGTTTGGGACGTTTGGGGTTTGGCGAGGAGGGAAGGAGCCACCCATGGAAATGATTTTTCTGGGAGGAGCTGGGATAAAGGGAAATGTCCAAGCTGAAAATCCCAATCAGCAAAAACATCCCAGAGATCCAGAATTCCTTCTGTGTCTGACCAAAACCAATCAGTGATTGATTTTTTGTTAAACCACTGAGAAAGCTGAACACGCCTCTGTGAACACGAGTTTTAAAAATGAACAAACCCAGGAAATCTCAACTTGACAAACCAAAACCACTACATGAAATAATCACAATACCCAGAAAAGAAAATTATTTTTTAAAAGAATTAAGAGGATTTTTTTTACATTTTTCTCCCAGAATCCTCTTTTTTTTTTTTTTTAAACTGGGGACGTGTCAGGCTGTTCAGTGGGATTTGGGATGTGGGTGTGGCTCTGTGTGTTCAGTTCTGAGCAGTGCCAGCCCTTTTCTCCCTCACCCACCACTTTTGGAATATTCTTTTCAAAGGAGCAGGAGCAGGCCATGGAATCATCCTGGAACGATTTGGGTTGGAAAAACCTTCAATCCCACCCAAGGGCAGGGACACCTCCCACTGTCCCAACGTCCAACCTGGCCTTGGACAATTCCAGGGATCCAGGGGCAGCCACAGCAAATCTGGGATAATCCAACCCCTCTCCACCCTCCCAGGGAAAAAGAAAGAATTCCTTTGCCATATATTCTGTTATCCTTAGGGAACAAATCCCCCTGGTTTTTTTTTAAAGGGGGGGACAGCCAAGATCTGTGGGAAATGTCACTGTCACCACATCCACGCAGTTGGACTTAAAAACATTGGGACAAAACATTCAACCCATTTTCTTGTCCAAAAAAGATCAAATTCCGGCACCAAGATGAAATTCCTACAGGTTTTATTCTCCTTGCTGAGGGAACAGCAGGAAAATTAAGGAATATCTGTCCTAAACTCAACCATTCCCAACATTTTGTGCTCTTCCTGAAATCTTCCAGCAGTAAAAATTCCCTCCCTGCAGGGTCACACTAAAAGGGACACGGATTTTCCAGCCATTTCAGGCAGAAATTTAGGAATTTAGGGCCTCAATTATCCCTGAATTTCCCTTTCTGCTGAATTCATCCTTTGTGATGTGCACACAGCAACCACCACACATTGTCCTGCAGCTGTGCTGCTCCAAAAGTGGGAGTTTTAGGGTTTTTTTCCTGGTTGTTTTGGGGTTTTTTCCTGGTTGTTTTGGGGATTTTTCCTAGTTGTTTTGGGGATTTTTTTCCTGGTTGTTTTGGTTTTTTTTTTTTCCCTGGTTGTTTTGGGATTTTTTTTCCTGGTTGTTTTGGGATTTTTTTTTCCTGGCTGTTTTGGGTTTTTTTTTTTCCTGGTTGTTTTGGGTTTGTTTTTTTTCCTGGCTGTTTTCGGGTTTTTCCCTGGTTGTTTTGTTTTTTTTTCCTGGTTGTTTTGTTGGGATTTTTTTTCCTGGTTGTTTGAGGCTTTTTTCCTGGTTGTTTTGGGCTTTTTTTTCCTGGTTATTTGGGGTTTTTTTTTTCCTGGTTGTTTTGATTTTTGTTTTTTTTCCCCAAGCTTATGAATCTGGATAAATTCAGCTTAACCACCTTCATTTTCTTGTCTGCCTTTGTGGCTCGGTGTGACACAAAGTGTTGGTTTTGCTCTGCTGGGAACAATCCAAACCGTGTGACTCGAGGTGACACCTGATGAGATTTTCCATCCAAACCCCTGCATTTAGTCACAAATCAAGCCTCAGTCAATGCAGCTGCCAGCAATTGCAGCTAATTCCAGGTTCAATCACTCAGGGATCCCATAAAATTGAGGTTTTTTTGGAGAATCAGAGGTAATTTGCAGGTAAAAGATGTAAAAATCGGGTTTCTCAGGGAGATGACACTGGAGTAAATCGCTGCTCGTGTTTCAGATAAAGTGGAGCTAATTTAGAGCTGGTTTGGCAACTCCAGGCTGAATTTAGGATTTTGATGGATCTTAGGTTGGGATTAAAGCAAGGAAGGGCAGCAGGAAAACTTGGGGTGATGCTCTGGCATTGCCAGATGTCCCCATTAATTGGAGATAACATTAAATTTTGAATTTTCTGTGAATGAAATTCAGTTCCAGCCCCGAGCTTTGCCTCCTTTTACTTCCCACATGTGGCAGAAGAGCCTTTTCCTAAATCACCCATCCTCAAATTTCTCCTGCAAATCGAGCCACAAAGAATATTCCCTCCTTCAATGCCATTCCCAGGTTTTAGCATTGCACAGATTCCTCTGCATTAACCTGGGATGCCATTCCCATGCTTAGGACATTGTGGAGGTTTGGATTTCTTCTCTTCTCTTGAAGTGTGAAGTAGATGAAATTTAATATCCAGCGAGGAGAAATTTAGGATAATCTGCATATTGATGAATTGGAATTTTTTTTTCTTTGCATTGATTTTATTTTCCCTCTGTTTTCCAGCTCCGGTGAATCCACATCTCCGTAAGTATTGAAAATATTTAATATTTTATCTTTCATGAAGAAACAGCCCTTGCATTGTTTGTCCCTCAGAGTTCAAAAATCAGTCTGAAGTGTTTCACCTCCAGCTGCAGCCCATGGGAGGTGCCATTTGGGATTCCTCTTGTTCCAACAAGGATAAAGGAAGGAAAATCCCAGCTCCAGCTCCTCTTCCTCACTGCCCCCAACATTTCATCCAAAGGAAAATATTCATGGGCTGAAATTAAGATCCAGCTGTGGTGGAGCAGCTGGGGAGGTGTTGGGGAAACCATGGAAGGGCAGGGACACCTCCCACTGGCCTTGGACATTCCAGGGATCCACTCTGGGAATTCCAGCCCAGCCAGGAATTCCCAATTCCCAACATCCCACCCAAATCTCCCCTCCTTCATCTCCAAGCCATTCCCTGTGTCCTGTCCCTCCATCCCTTGTCCCCAGTCCCTCTCTCCAGCTCTCCTGGAGCCTCTTCATGCTCTGGAAGGTTCTCTAAGGTCTCCCCAGAGCCTTCCTTGTGGTTCTTGAGTTATTTCCAGGCTTTTTTTAGGGCAGATTAAAACCAAAAGGAAGGAAGTTGTTCCCCACAGAAATCCAGGAATCACGGATTCATTGCACAGAGAAATTTGGAGACCCCAAGTGGGTCTCTGTTCTCCCCAAATTTTTGGGACACAGCTCCTCAGGAAATGCAAACTCTGACGTGATCAGGCACGGGGATGTCCCAGGCTGGAAATGGCTTCAGTCCCACTTTGTCCTTCCACTTTTCCATGGGCACCAAATCCCTGCAAACCTCCAGGCAGGAGACTGGGATGGAGCTTTGGCACATCCCAGTAAAACCCTCCCTGTTCCCACAGTCCCACATCTCCCTACTCCATCCTGTTCTCCCAATCCTCAACAAATCCATCTTTTCTGTCACAACAAATCCTTGGTTTTAGTCCCACAGTTATTCCCACCTAAGGAATGAGGTCCAGTCTCCCATTTTTCCTGCTGCAGGAGCAGGCTCTGCTCCATTCCCTCAGACTCAACTTTAAGCTTTTGTGTAAATTTTAAACTTATTTGCAGAAGATCTTGTCCAACACGTTAATAATTAAGCAGGGCTTAGCTCAAAGCTCCCAGGAGCTGCAAGAACTTCTCACATGGAGTCTAACGAGCAGGGAATTAAACTCTTGCTAATTAATATATTAAATCTAGGCTCTGGTGGGAAGAAAAAAAAAAATGCAATCCCAAGTGCTTCACGCTCCTCTAGGATTGAAAGATCTCAAACTAATTTTCCAAAAGTCTTGTAGGATCACGATGGAATGTGGGTGGCATCCGAAGGGGAATAAAGAATGTGTTGGCTCAAGGCAGGGATGGGAAAGTTTTTTCCACCAAAGTTGCAGAGTCCCCAGGGTCACTCCTTTCAGGTGGCCAAAGCCATGGTAGAATTCTGCTTTGCTTCTTTTCCCTGAAGATTTTTTGAGTGGAATCCCTTGGTAGGAAAGAAATCCCAGTCTGCATCCCACTCCATTCCCTAAGGCCAC